ACACTGTAAGAGTGTCAGGAAAAAAGACTTTTCTCAAGCAAAACCTGTGCGAGTACGTACTGTTTCAGCGTACCTGGAGGGCAGTGCGGTAATGTCTCTGGGATTTTAACAGCATATATCTAGTGATGCCTACTCCGAGGAGTCTGTCCTGAAGATCTACTCCTCCCCATATGAAATGACATACACACTAAGTTATTCTTTATAGCATTATGTGTAATAGCAAATGACTGGACATAATCTATATGTGTATCAGTCCAGACTGGTTCCACAAACCATAGAACTTAAAATAAATCAGTATGCATCTTTTAAATTATCTCTTCAAAAAATATGAGAGCTCTTTGGGAACTGATATGAAAGATGACCATGTCACATTTTATATTAAAAAAAATTCAAGGTGCAGAAGAATACGTACAGCACACACACATGTATATGAAACCTATGCAGAAATATGGTTTGACTAGCAGGTGCCGGATGGAAAAGAGCTGGAGACTTTTTTTAACTGTCTACTCCTTTTCGTACCTTATCAATTTTGTAGCACAGGCATATATAATGTATTCAAAAACCTTTCTGTTAAGTACTGATTTACTGTAGCTATAATGAACTCTTCAAATCTCCATGCTTTCAGTACCAAAACTGTGGAGCTATAGCTCACCTGGGAATTAGGGTCTGAAGTCACTGCATAAGGTGAAAATAGCACATAGTAAACATTTGCCTAACAAATCCCTTAAATATATGCCCCACTAGACTGACACACCATCTCAATAATTCCAACACAGCTAATTTTCACTCCACTTGAACAGTTCACTGTTTCTTCAACTGACTAGGATACAAAATAGCTAGCTTGTCCTTAGACCTCATGTTGTGATGTTAAAAATGTGTCTTTAAAATACCATAATCACCCTCATCCCAGCTAGACGAAGCATTCAGGAATTCAGACAGGCTGAGAGAAGAACAAATTTTCATTTTCCAGGTCACACTCGATCCAGAACTTTCACTGTCTAGGCTCTTTTTCTCTTACTTTGTCACCAGATGCATGGAACTTAATTTGCAAACTCCTTTGCATCTAAATCTGAATACTCAGATTCAGAAGAAAAGGAGAGTGGTGATATCTCTTGATCAGTATCAAGGTCATTTGAACTTAGTAATAGCCCATTCCTTTATGTTAGCATTCCCATACACTGATACATAGATTTCTTGATCGACGCTGAGAAATGGAACTCTGAGTGAAGTGAGATACCACTGAAACAAAATAAAAATTCCCAACTCAATCTCTCTCTCTCCCTGCTCTCTCTGAGGTTCATGTTACCATTAGATACTTTTCTTGGAGGATTTACTGATAGGCAACTCAGATTCCAGTTATAACTGAACTCATTCTTTCTCCCTCTCCCCCTCCCCCTCCTCCTTCCTGTCTGCTGTCTTGCTCTTCTAGTATTCTCTACCTTGGAAAAGACAGTAAACACCCATCCTGGTGCCCAAGGCAAAAACCTGAAACTCATACTATACTCCATCTCTCACCTACTCCTTTAGCCAATCCCCAAGTTCTGAAGATCCTATCAACTACATCTCAAATTCAAGTCCTCCCCACCTTCAGCATACCCACTGCCAATGCTTTGGTCTGCCTTCCCCATTGCTCACTTGAACTAAATGGCAGTCTCCCTGCCTTCAGTCTATTCAATCTATCTCGCACACACCTGACAGGTTAACTTCCAAAAATACAAACTTGGTGCTTTAAGAGAAGGAACAAGTCCCAAAGTAATGATAAACTAAGCTAAAAACAAACCCTTTTAATAACATGATACAATGCAAAGGGAATGTACCACCTAATTCATTTTTATGAGTATGTTCTTATACTACCCCACACTATATGACCAAATTAAATAAGCTAATAAATCTGTTTTGGTAAAAAGAGACTACACAGAAGCAAAACAATCCAACTGCTTTCTTAGAGTCAAAAATGAACACAAAACAGATCATAGCAGTGATAAAGGTACCTGAGGGAAAACAAAGGGTTTCCCAAACCTATAAAGTCAAGAGTGCACTCAAGTTGAATGCACTAACCTGTCTAAAAACACGTGCCTTAATCAGAAAGGACTGGGGAAGTAAAAGCAAGCAAAAAAGGTTTGGCCATAGGGAAAAACCACCCATCCCTGAAGTAGGCTGGGACTGAGGTGGCTTCAGTCCCCATCCAGCAAATATCTCACTTCTCTGGTTGAGTCCATGCCAACTAAGCCACCCGACTATGATCGGACCTGGTAGTAAAGTCTATACACATAAAGACAATATGCCAGTCATTTGACTTGAGCCTTCAGGTCCCTCTAACTTTTGTTGCCTATTTGAAAAAATTAAAACAGTATATTAATTAGTAACTAGTAAGCAAATTATCTATCAAAAAAGTTTACATTGGGGCTCCTGGGTGGCTCAGACGGTTAAGCATCTGACTTCATCTCAGGTCACAATCTCACGGTTGGTGAGTTCAAGCCCTGCGTCCGGCTCTGCTAACAGCTCAGAGCCTGCAGCCTGCTTCAGATTCTGTGTCTCCCTCTCTCTCTGCCCCTCCCCCACTCCTGTTCTGTCTCTGTCCCTCAAAAAAAAAAAAAAAAATTTAAAAAGTTTACATTACTCATACCAAAATGCACATATCATTAATACACTGGAATTCTGGCTTTACATGTCAGTCTTGCATGGCTGGTTAATACGTGTCTTTACCTAGAATAAGGAGTTGCTTTGAGCATGTGACCAGATCAGATTTCTAAGGGTTTTAAACCAACGACCAGACCCAGGATGAGGCTAAATTCTAAAACTGCACAGGTGGATCTTTAAATGTAAATTTCAATTAAATAAGATTTAAAATTCAGGTCCTCAGTTACAGAGTCACATTTCACAAGAGCCACATGTGACTAGAGACTACCCTACAGAATAGCACAGGCACTGAGCATTTTCATTATCGCAGAAAGTTCTACTGGACAGCACTATTCTGGAAGATAACCTCCAACAAACCCTACTGTGAGTCATCTTGGGAAACAGCCTGATAGTACTGGATGGCTACCACGGAACTGAGATCTAGACTGTTTTCTATACCAAAGGTAAGATGTAGATACTTAACGTCAATTTTCCTTTTCCTCTGCAGTGATTTCAGTTTTAGCCCTCAGAATGTCCACCCCTCTTTTTATCACTAGATGACACCGGATACTACAGGCATACAGTATAGCACAGACGTTAGAAGCACATTCTCTGAGCCAGACTGCCTGAATTCCTATCTCATCTTTGTGTTTTACTAGATGTGTAACCTTGGGCATGTTATTTAATTATTCTATCCTTCAGTCTCCTCATCAGTAAAGAAATAATACTACCTACGTCATTGGGTTGCTATGAATATACAAAGTTTATACATATAAAGTGCTTATAGCAGTGCCTGGTTGGGTCAGTTAAGCGTCTGACTTCGGCTCAGGTCATGATCTCAAAGTTTGTGGGTTTGAGCCCCACGTGGGGCTCTGGGCTGACGGCTCAAAGCCTGGAGCCTGTTTCAGATTCTGTGTCTCCCTCTCTCTCTCATTCTGCCCCTCCCCTGCTTGCCCTGTGTCTTGTCTCTCTCTCTCTCAAAAACAAATAAAAACATTAAAAACTAAATTAATTAAGTGCTTATAATTGTACTCAATACAGAGTAAGAGCCCAGTACGTGTTAACTGCTAGTATTTCCACTACCACCACCACACCACCCTCACAGCTCTTCAGATGACAGGTGTGGGAAATGCTCACTTAGGAGAAACATTAGCAAACATAAAGGAATTAAAATAAAACAAGGATCACAATGCAAGAGTCTCCATCTATGATAAAAAGACATTTTTTAAGATGAAAGGAAATGGATTCTGTAGAGGATATTAAATACCCAAAAAAGGCGTGTTTTTAAGAGAGTTACCCAACAATGTCTTATTTGTAAGGCTGACAAACCACAGGTCAAAAGAAGTCCATATAATAAGCTACTGAGCTATTTAAATAACCAATAAAAACTAAAGAGGAACTGAGAAGATACAGGTTCGAGTTCACTAGACCAAATGATACTTCCCTGTATAAACTATGTTTTGACATTTAAATGCACTGCCTCTCTTATACTTCCTAAGTTACCTGTACATTCACTCGACAAACTGACTGAAGATCTAATTTCTTAATCAAGCAGGAAAAGGACCATATGTAATTAAATTGCCATGCCAAACAATGGCCAATCATGTATTTTCTGAGTGGAAACCCATCACAGAACACCACACCTTGCTCTTACAGATGCGCAATTTCGAAATCCAGAAGTTGAAGGACAACTTTCAGCAAATGTAGTTGACATGGAAAGAGACAGAACTCTGTAAACATAAAGACTAGGGCATAAAGCCTGGCTGTGCTATTTACTAGCTGTATGACCCCAGGCAACTTGAACTTACTTGATGCTTATGAGCTTCATTTCACTATCTGTAAAACGGAAGATAAAGCGTGTGCCAACTGAAAAAGAAATATATGTAAAGAGCCTCCAACAGTGCCTGGCACTTAGCAGATGCTCGAGAAACAGATGCTACAGTTAGTAAATCCTCCTGAAAAGACTCTCCAAGAGCCCTAAGACTAAAACACCACTGCTTTACATAGTAACTACAGGACTATTTTGACCAGCTATTAGGTATAAATCATGATAATACCTTGAAATTATCATTTGTTTTCCATATTTTAAAAAACTATTCCCCCAATTTCCCTTGTTTTCTGTATTCCCTGCTAGACTCTGACTAGAAACCATTTGGGCCTACAGTAAAAATAACTGCACTTCCTACACTAAAACAAAGTGTCTACTAGCAATTCTGGCACATACACCTTCACTAATTCACCCCAAACATGAACACTATATGTAAATATCTAACATTTCTTCCTATCTCTATCAATGAAAAAAAGTAGAGTAATTTTGCTTTTTAAGTTTCTTTCAGTGAGTTGAGTTCCGTGTAACAAAACAATACAGGGTAATTGCTTACCTGGAAAATATTTTGTACTTCAGATCCACCAATCCAGAATGAATGGGGGTGTTCCCTTTCACACTAGTCTGAGAAAAGACAGCAGTCAAGCAGCTTCCAAGATTCTTTCCGTTTACTGTATCCAGCTTTCTTCAATAAAATCCCAAACATGCACTTCGGTAACTGTTGAAAGACAGAAAGCAATCCATACACCCACCATGGCACCAGCGGCAAAGAACAGCCACCAAGAAATGGAAGGAAGGGTCATTGGAGTGGTGGATCTGAGGCACAGAAAAGTTACAACCCCTGAGTCAGCTATTTGGTATAAAAGTTCGGCCGCAGCATTCTTCACCTCAGTGCTGACAAAAGGATAAGAACTTCTACGTGGTAAAGAAGGAAACATCCCTAATATTAATTTTTGCTCATGATGAACACACGATATCCAATGAGAGCAGCTAAAAACTTACTCTATTATCCACATAAATTGTCCCAGACCATTCAGCTACAATAAATTGCCTTATCCATTTTCTAAGACAGCTCCTCCAGCATTAGAAAAAATTTGTCAGCCAAAATTAATAATATGGAAGGCTCAAATATCTCGCAATATATTTAGGCACCTAACAAGAAATCTTTTGGTTGGCTACATAGAAGACATCAAAGCTACACATTACCCAAATCTTCAAACCTCACCTGAAATACATGCCATATTAAAACACATGGCATAATTTTAAGAATGAACTTCTGGTTCAATAAAGACCAACCCCCTACAACGACCAGTCACTAGGTAAACTAAGGAAAATAATAAAAACCACTCATAAACAATTTACTAAATGACACCTTTAAATGCATAAGCCGAGTCCACCTTATATCAGTATTCTTTTACTACCAAACCAACTTTCCCATTAGACTGCAAATTTATAAACAAATTATACAGGAGAGAGAAAAAGGCATTCTACAGGATAACATAGAAAACAATTTGAAAAATCAAACAGTCAAAAGCCTGTTAACTTACTTGACATCAATTTTCTACTTCCTCAAAAACCCTACTGCCAAAATGTCCCTGCAGTAGTTATAATAACTACCTGTATTTAAGAGCTACTAATGGGCCAGGCACTTTACATTCATTACTTATATTTAATTCTAAAAAAAAAAGAAGAAATAACTTGCCCAAAGTCCCACATCTACTAAGTGGTAGCGACCATCCCCTTTGCACAGAGCGCTGTGGCCTGCCAAGTCTAAGGATCAGAAAGGCCATGATTCCTGGGACAGAAGAAACCAAGCTTTAATCTCAAAGGTCTGGAGCTAACATCAGAATGGAGAAGTACAAAAATACAGAAGAGTAAATATTTCAGCCTAGCCGAACTAAAATACAACTGAACCCGTTAAGCCACCCTGAAAGAGCTAACACTCCATATCTTACCACTTAAAACAGCACTTCTTTAACAGAGGCATGCAGCTATGAGGCTCCCATTATTAATAATAAAACACATTATAATGTTGCCAAGTACGTCTTTGTGTTTAGCAGCCAACGACAGTGTCTGTGACAAAGAATGTCAAATCCAGCTGAAACCAAGAAATTTTAAAATCCCAAGATTTGTCAATAAACAGTCCACAGGCAATCACTAAAGATGTTCTGATTTATCACTTTGTAGGCATAGCAACGGACTGACTGAAATACAAGTCTATGATTAGCCTCTCCATAATGTAACAATCATAGGAAAGTACCCTAATACCCACAACTTAAAAGAGATCACGTATGTAGGATCTCAAGCAAAGAATGGGTGCTCAGGCTCCTCCTATTAAGTGATATTAAAATAAGCCTAAGAATCAACTGAAAACCCGATCGTGATAGAAGCAACAAGTTAGGCGGTAGCAAACCACTGAAAACAATATACTCTGCTTTTCAAAGTATAACTTACTGCTATAACCAAAATGCTGAGCAATTATAGAAAACACAACCACAATCTGACTAATGGACTCATTTCTGAACCTCCTGAATCATCAAGCCTTTTCCTGTATTACTGTGCTAATTTTCTGCTCTTCCCTTCAAATAAATATTTACTGAATGCCTAATTGACAGTCCTAATGTCAGAGATACAAAGATTAATAGAAGCCAGACCAAAAGTGTAAAGACTGAGTTCTTCCAGGTCTCTGTCCCCTTCTCTTGGAGTCTCCCAAGCAATCATTCCACGGAATCAAAATGTATTTTGTTCTTAGTTCCCAAAGCTGGTTAAGTGTTCTCAATTTAACTCTTAAAAAAATAAAAATTAAAAATGACTCCGGTTCCTTTTTCTCAACAGTAGAGCTCCCACTTAATTTTTCTTCTGTGGATCAGAGACAAGCTATTAGAATGGTTTCCCATATTCATTACATTTATTATATTTACCTCTCTATTCATAGACTTTTTTTTTTTCATTTTACGTGTTAATATCCCACTGTTTCTACTTCACAGCTTTCCATTCTGTGAAGGTCTTCATTGTTGACTAACCCTGAGAGGGAATTTCCTCAAAATGCTTCCTGCTGACATCATAGAACTCTGCAATCTTTGAATTTTGTTAAAACAATAATAAGATCCAGGTTAGAGATACACTACTGGACTGTCAGGTCCTCCTGGCTCATCTCTCATTTGCCTACAAAAACAAACTTCCGGTTAGGCAATTGTGATCAGCAGAAACTTAACCGAAGCTAACAAGTACATTCTTGACCAACAGGTTTTTTCCTCTTTTGTCAACTAATTCAATGAACAAAAATACAACTCAGGAGGAAATCTCGTATAATATTCACTGCTTATTCTTTTAAAGGTCAAAATCACCAGCTTTGCTAAAACCAGAATAAGAACTCAAAAATCCTAATTTCCTCATCAAAATTAAGCCAATCAAACATAAATCACAATGCTCAATGTTAATGGGAACTAATCACCAGTCTCCTTCTACCAAGATACCTAAAGCAGGGTTGGGGTGGGTTCTCTCAGTAGTTCGGAAACAGGCCGATTTACGTCTGACAATTCTTTAATGATTGTAACACTCCTTCCACCTCCTAAATTTCCAAGATAAAACTGATTCCGTATGATTTCATCACTTCTCCTAAAGAGATACCTCATGAAACGTATAGTTAAAGCAACTCAATGTCAGGCCTCTGTAAAACTTCACAAATAAATACATGCACAACTAAGGGGGGGTGGGGGGGATAAAACTTCGTTCACACCATCTACCTTGACTGTGCTTCACAAAAGCCAGTCCCGGTACCGGTGGAAGTTAGTACGGCAGGCATTTGCCAAGACAAGCTTCTGCAAGGTCCTTTCACACACATTTCTCCCATCATCCTCCCACCAACTCAGAGAAAAACCTACATTTTCTTGTTTTAACCAATAATGAAATCATAGCACACAAAGGTTAAATTTCTTAAGGTCACACAGCCAGCAGGTGACAAAGCTATAATAAAACTCCAAAGTCCATGCCCTTGCTGCTAAATCACGCTTCCTCAGAATTTACTGTTTGGCAAGTTCACATCAACAGGTATAAAAGGAATTTGCGTTTCCTCAATACTCTGCTATCAACCACTCTCTGGGATGTATATAAATCTAACTGTTGGGTATAAAAGTCTGTAAATAATGGTTTTATTGGATGCCTGTATAAATAATAAATAAAGGTCTATGGATATCTGTGTGCCACACACCACTCTCCCCTCTGCCTTACCAGTCTTTTTCCACTGTTCATCTACGCCTCTGTCTTAAAGTTATCAAAAGGAAATCTTACAAAGATTTCACAGCATGAAAAAAGATACCTCACATTAGTTTCAATCAATATACCTACTGCACACCCAAGTGCTAAGCATTGTGAAAGATTCAAAAGACAATACAGCCTCCGGAAGGGAAATTTAGACACGATCACAAGCTTTTATGATATACAGGAAGGTATGATTAAGTCCTGTAAGAGTTAGGAATATATATGAGAATTACCAATACAGGTGAGAATTACCGCACAGACAGACAGCAATGATGCATATCAACGACCAACAGGAAAATTCAACTCAACACTTACTGAACATGTACTGTAAGAAGGCACTGTGAGGAGTTTATCATTTATTTAATAGAGGACACAAACAGGAAACTATGATACAAGCCTGGAATATGCTATGTGTCACAAGAGAAATACAAAGTGCCAGAATTCATTTATTTCACTTCACAGTGAACATCAGGTAGGCAGTGCTATAAAAACAAAATAGTACCTACCATCATAATGTCAACTGACATCAAAAGAGGTGGCATCTAAATTGTGTTTTGAGGAGACAGGACTTTCTCAGTACAGGTAGAAGAGAGAATTTCTGAGGTGTGATTTAAGGCAGTTTGGCCAGAGAGCCAACTATTAGGTCCCTCCAATAAATATCAGTAGCCTTCAATACATGCGGGGGAAAAAGAAAACAAAAAATAGTGTGAGCAGAATCTGAAGAATCCTGGTCTACCATTTGGCTGAAATATAGAATAAGTGAGGAATGTGAGAAGAAAAGCTAACAGGGAGTCTGTAATTGAAATTACTAGGACTTGAAACGCTTTCTTTCCCTTAACATGTAAACACCACCAGGTGGAACCCAGGAACCCGAGCACAAAATTCACAGGATCATAGGATCAAACGGCACTACTGAGGATATATAGTTGACCCTTGAACAACATGGGAGATTAGGGGCACTGACCCACATGTAACAGAAAATCCACTATAACTTTTGAGTCCCCCAAAACTTAACTACCAATAGTCTTCTTTTGACTGGAAGCCTTACCAATAACATAAACAGGTGGTTAATACATATTTTGTATTTCATACATCTCATACATCGTATTCTTACATACAGTAAGCTAAAGAAGATATTAAGACAATTATTAAAAAAGAAAATACATTTACAGTACTATAAAAAAACAAACAAACAAAATCCCAACCTTATTAAAAGTAGAGTGGCACAGTTCAAACCCATGTTGTTCAAGGGTCAAGTGGCTGTAAGTGCTGTTCTGTGAACCCATGGAAGGGCCCAGTGATCTTCCTGTGCTAGCACTCTGTGGGGTTAGAGCAGTCAGAAGCCAGGAGTACCAAGTGTGTTCACAGGATCATGTTTGTCCTTGTCAACTGTGAAGGGACATCTAACTTGCTTCAAAATCAGGAGTAAAAATTGATATATTTGAGCCACAATGTCATGAGGCAGGTAAATTAGTCTATAAATACAGATGTGGTTTATTTCATTTGGACCCTACTTAAACCTTTGTCTATTTAATCTGCATTTGGTAAATCAGCACATGGTTAGAGGTAAATAAGGATAAGTGATAGTGACAAACTGAGATCCGATTTCTTAAAGCAGTCACTAAAAAACAATCCCACTTACTCCACTTAGAAAACCAATGACAGGAAGGGGGGAAATCCAGAAAGAAAAAAAGAGAAATTTCCCCAAACTTCGCTTAGTTTCTTTCATCTCCTTGGCCTTGCAGCCTGCCTATACTTCAATAGCTCTAAAAAACAGCATTATACCTTATCATCTTAGGGCCAATGTATTTTACTACAGTCAACAAATAATATAGCCACTTAGAGACAACACAAAAAGAAAATAAGTCACTTAAGGTCACTTACCAAAGAGGGGGACCAACCAACAGCTAATAAGAGTATAAACTGCCCATTAATTTGTGCTTGGGGGTGAGGGTGGGCACACGCTCACACCCATAGAGGAAGCAGGGTTACCTTTCCTAAACTTAAACATCACCTTCTGCTACCTTCTAATAGAGAAAACTTACCATTTTTCTCTTCCAATCAGCAGCTCTGTGAGTGCTGTCTAGCAATGAGGGCCTGAACATCAACTAACAACTCCTAACTCAAACATTAATAAACATCATGTGATACATAATGCAGTTTTTATTCTTTCCAGTGATTTTTCACCGCACTAGACATAGCCTGGTGAACTCTGTATACTTCCAACTGGATTACTGCTTTTCTACCTCATTAATAATAAAGCTGATTTCACCAAAGTCAGAAACAAAGTCCCACAAACTAAGTAAGTACTATAGTCCAATATAAGGCCATGATAGTCATTTGCTGGTTAAATTATTTACCGTCAGCAATTATAAATTCAGTTGTCTCAACCAAGAGTTTATAGTCTCTATTAAAGACTGAACCCTATGAGGTAGGTCAGTTGGAGAAGCACTCTTTGTGGACCCGGCCTTAGGCAGAGATAGGAGCCCAAACGGAGGAGGTTCTATTTTGGAGATTTAACTATTCAGCTATAACCAGCTTTATTTCCTAGTAAACTTAAAAAAAAAAAAAAAAAAGCACAAGGGCAAAAAAAGAAAAAGAATCCAAATCAAAGGAAGTGGAAGGATGAAGATTAAGAAACTGGAGATATCCCAAAAGTCTGTTTCCTGTCTTTAATATAGCACTCTCTGGAGTATCAAATGAAAGTTATCCTGTTAACCATTAAGTACCAAACTGGTACAGGCAGCACAATCACAAATATTTGAGTACTGAAGCTGACTCACAAAAATCTAAAAATATTTCATGCTTTAGGCTTCCAGCATACCATCAGTTTGACCCGTTCCTTTCTTTCAATCATGTTATTTTAAAACCAAAGTAAAAAGTATTTTTAACCTAGTTCTGGAAACTGTAATTAAAATGCAGTGAATACAGAGAGCCACATGCAATTAGATTTTCAGGCATTATCATTCCTACATCCAATCCTGGATTTACTAAATCAGTTGTTAAATACCTGTACTATCCTCTACACTAAAATAAATACATACATGTTTATGAAAGGATTGCCTAAGAGTCTTAACTGGTACCCCTTTGAGAGAATATCAAAATCCGCGATATGAAAAGCCATTTCAAAATTGATCTCTTTGTTAAATTTTCTGAGAATCCCAGTATATAATTTCCTTGAAAGGCTAAAATATCTTTTCAGAACACAGACAAGTACAATCATGTATAATCAAAACTTTTTTAAAGTTATGAGCATGGGAAACCAACAAATTTAGGCCAGAGATTTCTTTTTACCATACACTCAAAACTACTAAATGAATTACACAGTATTTCTTCTAAGTCTTTTGAAAATCAAGACATTTTAGTTCTTTTTTAAATGAATGGAAACAGGAGCACAGAACAGCCAATTTCAAAGAGGCACCAAGTTACAATTTTTCAGTACGAAGTACTCCTCCAGCGGGGCGCCCGGGTGGCGTAGTTGGTTAAGCGAAGTACTCCTCCAGCTTAAGTACACATATTGTATATCCCTAAGGATACGGATGTACTGTACGTGGAATTTCAATTAAGATATTTACCAAAATAACCCACTACAAAATTTTCAGAATATCAAAGGCTTGACTGCAATAGTCTGATAAATTATACTGAAAAAAGAAAAATTACTTACTAAATGAAAATCAAAAACTCACAAGTGATAATACCCTTTAAAAAGCAAGCGCACGTGTGCACACGAGCGCAGAACAGGAACAACCAAAGCCTTTTTTTTCCCCTTCTAGTTTTAAAGAATACTGGAGAAGTCGAGTTCTGTGAATTACGCGGAGGACAGCAAATATTAAGCTGTGTATTTACGCTACTGTACTTCCATTTTTAAAACATGCGGCTCAATTCCCCAGATACCATCATCCACAGAAACCATGCAGCTATCCAACAGACTTTCAGTGTCACCATTTATTATTTATAGCAATAAATGGGGGAAGTGGCTCTGATGTCACCGACCCTACCCAGTGGAATCACGGACTCAATAAACATTTTCACACTGGAGAAAATCTGGCTAGGAAAACATTTTGCTGGGTTAAGTACATTCTTTCACCTTTCCTCTCAGCCCTGGGGTAGAAGTGGTTACTGTTAGGAAAGATACAAAGAAACTGTCAAGGTTTCCACAGGAAAGAAACCCCGGGCATGTCCATTTGCTGAGGTTTAAAAGACTTCCTCCTCCCAACTCTCCAAAGCCCAGTCTGATTTCCCCAATGTTCAAACTGGCAGGTAATAGCTGCCATATTTCTTTTCTTCCACCAAATCATCCACCAAGTAGCAAATTCTTTGCTTCTGGTAACCACTCTCTCGTGTTTTCTAAAACCCCCTTCTGGCTCCACGTCCTAAGGCGGAAAGCGGTTGGGGTGTCCATTGGGCCAGGTAGTCTGGCTTGGCTACCAATGGTGTGTAACAGAAGAGTGATCGCTTCCCCAGGGGCCTAGGATTCTCTCTCTCTCTCTCTCTCTCTCTTAAATAAGAAAGAACTGGCGGCAGTGATGAGGACAACCCTCCCCCGCTCCTCCCCGATTTTCCCAAAGCAGCGCTGAAAAACATGAAGTTACGGTTTCCCTTTTCTGGGAGATGGAATCCAGAGTACCTGGGGCCTTGCTATGCAAACATCCCTCATCGCGGAGTAGGAAGCCCTTTGTCCGAGAAGCCGGACACCACAAGGGCCCGGGAAAGAGGCCTCCTATCCCTCACATCTTCAAACCCCACAGCTCCCCACCTCCACCCCTGTAGGGCCTATCCCGACATCCACACAGCCCTACGTTGGGGAGAGGGTGCTGAGACCCCTACTAGGACGCGGAGACCGAGGCCCTGGCGGATCTCCTCCTTACCCCCCTCCCACCACCATCTCACTCGGCCTGAGTGGGGTTTGCAAGAGCGGTGCAGGCCTGGGCCGGAGAAACAGAGGGAAAAAATCCCCTTCTAAGAGAAGGAGAATGAGATGCTAGAGCGAGTGTGAGCTAAGGCCACAGTAGAAGCGAGCGAGGGTCCTTCGAGAGATGGGCCCGGATATAGGACACAGGGAGGAAGGAGAACCCAGAAGCATGGAGGGGGCCGGGCCAAGTCCGGCCTGAGATCTCGAGGGATCCGGAGGAACCGCGCCGGCCCCGTGGCCAGCGAAAGCTGGAGGCCCAGGTCGGGGCCGAAACAGTGGGGAAGGGCCGGAGCCGGCCTCGCGCCGGACGCTGAGGTGGGCAGGCCCTCCCGGGGCCGGACGGACGGAAGAACGGTCCAGCGGGCCGCACTCACCATGAGCTCGATGGTCTTGTCCTCAATCACCGAGTCGGGCTCCATGGCGGCCCCGGCGGCCCCGCCTCGCTCTCCCCGCGCAGCAGCGAACGGCCCGGGCGGAGGAGGCGACGGCGGAGGCGGCAGAGGCGGAGGCGGCTATCGTACCCACTCTAGCTGCCAGCCCGCCCGGGCCGCCGGCAGCTCCGCCCTCCCCCTCCGCGAACGCAGTACGCAGACCGAGGACTACAGCTCCCAGCAGGCGCCGGGGGCCCCGCAGAGCGTTGTGGGAACGAGAAGCCAACACCAGGCTAATCTCTCTCGGCACCCTGAAGCTGAATTCTGAGCCGACAGTAGCACTGGACTGTGAATGTGGGACCTGGAAACTAAAGAATGAAGGGCTCTCTCAAAAAAGGGCCTCAGGAACGCCACGACTACATGTCCCAGAAAGCCCTCGCGCGGATTCTCCTTCCGGCTACTTCCTCCTGACTTCCTGGCAGCCCCAGGCGCTTCAGACCGGGAAGGAAACTCCGAGATAACTCTTCACTCGTCAGAAATCCTGCGTGTGGACCGATTTCCGCACATGCGCATTCGATGCCGCAGTGCCCACTAAACGCCTAGGTAGCGGCGAGGCTGGTTGGCGAGCGACTGGTGGTAGGGACAGATGATGGAGACAGGTGGGTTCTAGGTGCGTTAGGAAGCCTTGGGGCTCAGGTGTGGGAGGGGGGCCAGCAAGCGAAAGAAGTTCAAGCAAGGGTGGAGGCACTATGGGCATCCCAGGAGTGAGAGGTTTGGAAATTTAATTGGGCAAAGTGGGTTCATGGAGATGAACAATTGGTGCTTCCGCTACGCACCACGACCTAGGAAGAGCAGAGAAATGAAAGAGAACCTGTGCATGTTGAGCCTCTCTTTGTCATTCGTTCAGAAACTATTTTTTAAACTTCCAGCCTCTGCCGGGCACCAGTCTAGGCACTGGAAGTCAACTCCGAACATTACAGAGGAGGATTCTGTTATCATGGAGCTTAATTCTAGCGGTGGGAAAACAGACATTAACCAAAAGAGTGGCGCTAAGAAGGACCACAGCTGGAGACCTGGAGACTCCTCCTGAATTCTGCCTTCATCCCTGTGTGAACTTTGTCAGGTCTGTCAGTGCTCACTAACCAAAGACCACTAGGGACACACTGAACCAGTTGGGTTTATTACTGGTTGCAGTGAGGGAGAATACCCACCATGAAAAATCCTAAGAGTTGTTAGGTGATTTGGGAGAGGATTTAAAGAAGTGGGGCTTTACTCTGGATCAGATGCTGTCAGGAAGTGGGGGTAATTCTGTGATTGGGCATCTCAGTCGTGCCTAGATTGAGGTTGAAGCTGTAATTGGTAAAGAAGCAGGAACCTCTCATTAGCCAGGATGGGGGATGTTTGGTCACTTTTTGTGGTTTTGGACAGTGTTCATGTTTCATCTGCGTTCAAATGTAATTAAGGAATGACCTTGTCTTTGTCTTGATCTATCCATGGTCAGAGAATGGCCTCATCTGATGTTTACATTCTGTGAAATTATGTTCAACAAGAGAGCACAAGGTCTACCTAATAGGGCTATCCATTATCTAGTAACGTTACAACCTGGGTAATGGACCAGGCCAGCTTCCAAATATCAGAAGCTGCTTTTCTCTTTCTCTAGTGTTTTGCATTCTCTGTACCTGTAAAGTGTGGGGACTTGACCTAGAAATCTTTCCATTTCTAAGGATTAAGTTATTACAGTAATTTGTACGCATGCAGGACACAGTGTAAGTTCCACGCTGGTAGAATTTGAAGTTTCATAGTCCTTATCTGGTGCTTTCTACCAAAGAAATTAAAAACAGTAGGAAAAAAGAGCCCAGAATTGGAAACTTACTGCCACTAACTTGCTGTCTGAATTTAACTAGGACCCTTCCCCTGTCTAGGCCTCGGGACATTCATTAGTAAAATGCGAGTTGGGATAAATGACCTCTGTTTGACTTACCTTTTGTATCCTAATAAACCACACCCAAGACTTAGTTAACTTACAACTTAAGATAACAGTGGTTTCTTTTTACAAGTCTGTGGGTCAGCTTGACTCAGCTGGGCCCACTTGGTATAAACTGCGGTTACTCATGAGATTGCAATCAGCTGGCAACTCATCAAAATAGGTTCTCATCCTCTAGGGCCGGTCTTCTCCACCTTGGCGTCTTATTCAAACTTCTACATGGCGACTAGCTTCCATGGCGACTAGCTCATTGAAGACAAGCCCCAAAGCCCCAGTGAGCAAATGATTATCAAGCCTTCCGGTTGCACCACACTCGCTAATGTCCCATTGGCCAAAGCAAGTCATACAGCGAAACCCAGAGTGAATGTGGAAAGGGACTACGCGAGCTTATGAGTACAGAGAATCATGGTTCATTGGGGACTACCAGCATAACAGCCAACCAGGACCTCGGAGTTCCCAGCATTTGCCACATGTCCTGACACATAGGGTAGGAGTCACAGGCTGTATTCCCCAATATGTATGTTTATCCTACAGCAGATTTATTTTAAAATTTGACATTTTCGCCAAGTCTGAATTTCCATCTTCTCTAGAAATATTAGAGAATCTGGCTGTGTTGGATATACCTGGCAACTATATGCAATGGTTAAGTAGCAACTAACTTCTTTATAGGAAGCATGTGCTCTGTAGATTTCCACTGTCACCATTTCTCCCTCTTGTCTTATTATCTGCATTCTCATTTAAATTGTGTGCCTAACCCATAGACATGTTTGAGTTTGCAGTCCTTGGTGTTAGAACTGTAATGGAGATGACTCAAGGTTTCTATCTTTTTATTAAAACTGTATCCCGCTCTAAGAGGAAAAAATACTATGGGGTCAAATTCCAGGAGCTCAATGGATTTTAAAAGTCTTGTATTGATAGAAGAAGCCTTACCCAAGCTATATGAGAGACCAGCTGAGCCAAGGCTTATCACTTTAGTCAAACGAGAACTCAGGTTCTCAGGTATATTTATTGCTTCAGGCTTGAAGCCAGCTGGTGATTATATCTGGTCGTCAATAAAGGCAGAAGACCTTGAGGCGTATTTCAGTTTTTCAGACAGCTCTGCTTTGGGGTTTACAAGACCTGCTAACAACAAAGTGGTCAGGTCCACAACCCCTTAACCAAAACCCTGAGGTCTGAAATGTCTTCAGAATTCAGAAGTGTTTCGATTGTATGAAGACAGTATGGTACACATGCTGTATACATAATATCACACACATAGTGGGGTCTAGGACAGCACTTCATAATAAAATACATTCATTTTGTGCAGCAGAACATAGGCGTACCTGTTCTCAATTAATAGCCCCTCAGTTCCAAATCCATTCTTCTTTTACATACTTTGAAACACCAGAGTGGGACCCCCCCTGAACATTTCTCCTCCCCTCGCCTGCTGGCACAACGTTTAGCATTGTCAGTAGAGAGCCCTAGAGGAACACAAGCAAATGAAGGAGCGTCTCTTCCTATTTCCAACATACTTTATTTCCCTTCTTGCTTTTGTGGTATCCTGCAGCAGATGGTTTGCAGAACCAGATCCAAGCCACCCCTCCAACACATGCACACACACAGGTGGCCGGGACATTCAGAGGGTGGCTTCTCAGTGAATTCAGTGACAACCTCAATGGGCAATTTCCTGCTCTCCAGCCCTAACCTGTAGCACCTCAGCAAACATCACCATCCAAAGGGTCGTAACTAACCACCTCCCCAGTAAGGTCTGAATCTCAGCCTAGCTGTGAGGGTAGAAGGGCTCTTCCAAGTTTCTTCCTTGGGTACCCTGCCTCAGCCCTAAAGGTAGTGGTGGCTCCTGATACCTACTGTTTCTGCGTTCTTTAGAGTTCTCTTTGCCCCTTAGTACTTAATGCCCTAGGAGTTAATAATTCCTTCTGCTTTTTTTGTTTTCTTGTTTTTTAGATTCCACATGTAAGTGAAATCATCTGGTACTTGTCTTTTTCTGTCTGACTTATTTTACTTAGCATAACATCCTCTAGGTCCATCCGTGCTGTCCCAAATGGCAAGATCTCACTCTTTTTTGTGGCTGCATAATACTCAATTGTGTATGTATACCACATCTTCTTTTAACACTCCTCTATCAGTGGACTTGTAGGTTGCTTCCATATGTTGGCTTTGTAAATGCTGCAGTAACATAGGGTTGCCGGTATCTTTTCAGGTTAGTATTTTCATTTTCCTTAGGTAAATACCCAATAGTGGAGTACTGGATCATATGGTATTTCTATTTATAATTTTTTAAGGAACCTTAATACCATTTTCCACACTGGCTGCACCAACTTACATTCCCATTTATGGTGAACAAGGGTTCCTTTTTCTCCACATTCTCAGCAGCACTTGTCATTTCTCCTTTGTGATACTAGTCATTCAGACAGGCGTTAAAATGATATCTCATTCTGAGGCTCCATAGCTCAGGGGTTAGAGCACTGGTCTCATAAGATAATATCTCATTGTGGTTTTGACTTGCATTTCCCTGATGATTAATGATGTTGAACATCTTTCCATGGGTCTGTTGGCCATCTGCGTGTCTTCTGTGGATAAAATGTTCATGTCATCTGCCCATTTTTTAATTGAACGTTTTTGGTGTTGAGTTGCTTAAGTTATTTCTATAGTTTGGATATTAACCCCCTATTGGATATATAATTCGCAAATATCTTCTATTCAATAGGTTACCTTTTCATTTTGTTTTGATACAAAAGCTTTTTATTTTAGTGTAGTCCTAATAATTGTATTTTTACTTTTGTTTCCTTTGCCTGAGGGAGCATATCTAGAAAAACCTTATTAAGGCTGATGTCAAAGACATTACTGCCTATATTTTCTTCTAGAAGTTTTGTGGCTTCAAGTCTCACATCTAGGTCTTTAATTCATCTTGAGTTTATTTTTTTGTATGGTGTAAGAAAGTGGTCCAGTTTCATTCTTTTGCATGTTGCTGTCCAGTTTTTCCAATACCATTAATAAATGGAGAATGTCTTTTCCCCATTGTATATTCTTGCCTCTTTTGTCGTAGGTTAATTGGTCATGTAATGTGGGCTTTTATCTTTTCTCTCTATTCTGATTCATTGATCTATGTGTCTTTTTATGTCGGTACCATGCTGTTTCTATTATTAAAGCTTTATAGTATAAATAATAATTCTTCATATTAAATTTTCCCAAAAGAGAATATGGCA